TGAAACGGTATGTACTTCCGAACTACCTTCCCCTTGAAGATAGCCAGATTGTGTTCGTCCAGCATCAGTCTCGATTGTAAACCCAAGACGACTTCCCGGCGTTTCAGCCGTTCCGCTGGTAAATAGTCCGGTTGAAAAAATTTGGTTGTGTGTGTTTCTGACGTCGGTTTTTTGGAGAGGATCAACTTGATTTGCTCTTTGTTCTCCAGCATAATTTTGAGAGGGCCATGTGGTAGTGCTGCTGTTAATTCTTCACTCTGCTTTCCAATCCGCAATGCCTTCAGAATCTTTATTTCCATGTCTGCCTGGAGTAATTGGTTTAGTAGAGCATGAAAAGAAGCAAGGTCCTCCGAGGCACGGTCTTCAGGCCTGACTGCATTAGATTCCGACAAACCCTGAATAACCAGACACTGCTGGCCAGTATAGTCCTTCTTACTTTGTCTTTCCGGTGAATTCGCTGCATGTGGGCGAGAACGATTCACGGAGTCATCGCTTGGCCGCATACTTTTTGCTGTCTACCGACTGTCCCACACAACCCATCAGGACTGGTTGTGACTTCAGACTCCTGTCATGGCGTTTCCCTCTACCCTCTACCCAGGGGTTCATGTCTTCTTATTCAGATACGTGCTCTGTAGTCTACTCGGGATGGTTGAGAGAACAAGAGGGTAACAGTAGACTGGATTACCCAGGTATCTCGTCTCCAGGCAAAAGAGAAATTCCATCACTTACAGCATGAGGCCTAGGCGAGAGAGCTTTCCGCGCCAGGGAATATTTTGTGACATCGCTTAAGACATCTTGCGTGGGAGTCGAGTCTGTCCTTATCGGCGGCATCGTTTTCGTTTTCCTAATGTTACCGGCATCCCCGGTTGTAGCTAGTGAGCTGCAACTCCTGTTTGAAGATTACCCAGAGTAGATATTTTTCGCGTTTTTTGCATTTTGCTCTACGTTTTGGGACTTTAACACTGGAGACGTTCTGGTAATCTACGGTTCGTTTCATGAGCGTCCTAAAATCAGCAAGCTCCATTTCGAGTTGTTCTACCTCGATTTAGATAAATGCGCACCCAACACAAGGCTTGTCTTTGTACCTAACACTTTTGGCGGTTATTACGTTTTTTGCCCGCTTTGCTGGTCGTTGGCTGGAAGCGCAGGTAGAGCGAGCACAGGTTCTGGATGCGAAGGATATCTCACCAGACTTATCTTCCAACGAGGTACCATCGGTGGCAGTACTATTGCAGTTAGACTGCTGAGACTCCATAAACTTCCACATGATATAATAGCTATGATTTCGCTTTCGATGTTATAACGAATAAGTCGGCCTGTATATGACGAACATATTTATTATTTCTGAGGAAAACAACCTTCATTGTTGAATTTGAATAAAAATTCGCATATGTTTTCGGTTAAAATGCTCCAAATTATTCAGGCACTAAAGCGATCAATCACGAATTCCTCGAGTGAACTACATACTTCAGCACCCCACCTTGTCTATGAAGTCCTCGTTACTACAAGTCACTATTCAGTACCCTTTCTGCTATCGCTATATTCAGATTGCCTCCAGCAAAAATATTCGTCAGATTACATATGAATGTGCTTGTGCTGTCTTTATCCCCATTAGAAGACAAAATGCCTACGGTTTTCTTTAACTTAATGAAAATTGCATTTTTTAGGCGTACTGTTGCTATGTTTATTTCAAAACCGCCAAAAAGTTATTAAGGCTGCTAACCGTAGGATTTGTATTATACCTAACACAAACCGCATCTACATTCTCGAACTTCTTAAAAAAGGCAAGTTTTGAGGTTTTTATGATTTAAATGCATTGTCCTTATCGATTTAGGTCTTTTTTAGGTCTACGAGTATGCAAGTTCATGTTTTCAAAAATAACTAATATATATATATATATATATGTATATATATTGCTATAGCTATTGAGATTTTGTGAAAACGTACGCAATTGGAATTCGCCTACCATTCCATCAATGGTCATATGGAGTGATTTTACTTTTTTATCTTGGATACCGGCCGTACGTGCCTCACAATAGTGGTATGGCCTAGGCTATACAGATAGCTATATAGCGATGGTTCTTTAACATAAAATAGCTTCAGAAACTTCGCAGTTTCTTAAGCCCTATTTGTATCAAACACGCATGACCAGGATGCGACATTGTCCTGTGTTAATCGAGATTATCTTTAGAAAATACGATAATTATAGTTATCGTATTTTCTAAAGGTAATCTAGGTTCACGAACAGAATAAATTTCTTTCAGCATATATTTTGCCGTACTCAGTTATGTGAACGGTGTTTTGAACATTTAATCTTTAATAAATTTCTCCCGCTTTTTGTTAGCCTACATGTGCCACATTTGCTGATGTCTTCAGTTATTGTGACCACCTACGATATTATTGAAAACGTCAAACATTTTATTTAACATTAACAAACATATTCGTGGTAAAACGTAAGTGTTATCATTCATTTGCCCAGAGGATTTAAACGCGCACATACGCGCGCACGCATATTTTATACCTTCGTGAATACTTATTTGCGTTTGCGCAAACAGCTGAAAGAGTTTAAGAACGACTCATATTCAGTATAGTAAGCACCAGAACACAAAGGAACCCTCACGACCAATTGTCGGTAGCAATCTGAGGCGTACTAAGATCAGATCGCAACAATGCTGACCGATTATCATTACTACAAACTGTTAGGAAGACTGTTAATCAGTTGTTAATAAGCGATTTTGAGTCTTCAAGGATAAGTACTTTGGGAGGCATTTTTCATTTTTCGACTTCTACACCTCAAATAACTGACCAGTTAAAAAACCACACAGTTTTATGCAAGGTAAATACAGAGATCTATCCTGTGTATAAGACAAAACTGTGCATTTTTTATAATGCAAACGGCGGCACGGCGTCTTACAGCCTGAAACTAGGAAGTCCTGTCAGCGTGAACAATATGCTGTGATGGGGACTCTGGTTCCGTTTGGTGCCATTATTTAGCACAATTCTAAGCCCAGACTACATGCCCAAAATTGGCTGGCGAAATTTAAATCCGTAGGTCAGTCGTGAGACGGTACTCGGTAGCCAGGTGACTCAGAGTCAAACCTAGGACGTGCAGCCGAAAATTCGTATATCATTGGCTTCTGAGATTAAGTAAATTATAACTGACAGTTTAATGTATCTGTCTCTGATGCAGTGTCTGTCGATGCTAAACGGCCTGCTTACACGTTTTGCACAGGCAGGCGCAATCGGCCTCACTCGCGAGTTCTGTGCCGGTGGCACACCAAAACCAAAATCCCGTTGATGGGATGGAATTCGGTGATTAATTTGGTAGAAACTCGTCTGATGCGTCCTGTTTAATTCTGTCACAATGAAAAAACTTCTTTTGGCATCTAAGATAGAAATACGTACAGCTCGAAAATATTTTAACTCGCAGAATCATGGCAACATCAGTATAACAAAAAATCGCATACGTCATTGGGGTCATGTGAGCAAGAGATCACGGTATGTCGTCCCTGAAACTAGGAGTATGTCACCTTCCCTTACACGAAATTTGCTTAAACCCCTACCAAGGGACATGAGAATTATTTTTCGATTCAAAATTCTCATCTCCCTTTGAATAAGTTTATTTCCAGTCGCCCACATCTTGAGCATTTCTTTACCTCTGTCAGACTCGTAGTTATCAACTGTTTGGTCAATTTGGCCTCTTTTTAACCCTTATAGCAAGGTTTCAAGTGCAGAGCAAAGGTATTTGGGGCTAACTCCGCCGTTTTTTGTTGCATCGTGGGTTTGCAACCAAGAAATAGCAGTCGCATATCCACAAACTCCTTGCCAAATGAAACATACTGCTATGCTAGGCCCAATTAGAAATAAATACATTTCAGCCGAAACAGTTGGCAGTAAATAGTGTTTCTCTTTACCTTCGCTTTGGCCAATTCCTTTACGATTCAATTGACTAAGGAGTAAACACATTAGCACTCCAGTCAATTTAATACTATTTCTAATAGGTTTGTCGAAACTCAAACCTGAAGTACAGATTTGAATGCGGACCATATAATTTTGCAGAAAGCTTAGACTTCTAATTCACGGTTCCAATAAATCCTTTTTGGGTTTGATTTTGTCAGTGACTCGCAGTAAAAGTACAACAGGATGAACATCAGGCGCTAAGAACGCCTATTTTTAGATAGACAAGTTATTAGAGAAGCTTCTGGGGACTTTTTTGACAGACGACATTGGAAGTTTTTTAAGCACGAGATCCGTATTTACCATGGGCTATCTAACATCTCTTCCATATTATACAAGTCTTGTATATGGGCAAAGATCTTCGGATTTGCAAACAGTGATTTGGTTCTACATTATGCATTTTAGAGAGTAGGTCAGTCGAATATCCGTGAATTGCACGCTGGGAATGACCCGATATATTTGTGACGACGGGCACTTTCATTACTTTAAAAAACGGCATGGTACAGTAAATGTTAAACAAATTAATCTCCAGATACGGATAGATTTTCAGTTTTCGGTCGTGTATGCATGCTCTGCAGCACGTTTTTACAAAGATAAAATCAAGGAATACGTATGAAACGTCTGAGGTAGTCTGTGGCTGTTAAAGGCCGGTAGTTAGCAGCCAACCTTCAATTAAATTACCTACTGGATAACGGTGTAACTAGTTTTACTGTCGTCCAAGCCCTACTTATTAACAAGTATACTGCTCTAGCAAGTGCAAAATTGCCTCATGTTTTCTTATTTGACTTGCTTTAAAAATATTCCCGTAAGTCGCGTTCTTTACATGAGCGTATTGAGTGTAACCTTAAACTTTTGACCATCTCCCCACGACGATCCGCGCTATACGTAAAGAAAGTTGCAATGAGAACCTTGAATTTCAGTTTTGCGCGTCTTCGAATAGATAACCACAGTAACAGGCTTAATGCTGAGACTTCGTACCTTGGATTGCTCATATTTTGGCAACATAAGGCTAACTGCCAGTACTTTTAAATGTATTTTTCAGAATGACGCCCCACACTCGAAAGTTGTATCTGTGCGAGGAGAAGACCCAGGACAAGGGTCCCTCTGTGGACTCAAACGACCTTGACGAGCGCATAGCAGCGCGAAGATTGCGTATTGAAAACCGTGTAGCCCAACAAAAGTAAGTTTGCACAGCTTCGCAGTGCTTATTCTTACCGCAATCCAATAATAGCCCAGAATTCTTTGACCAGAAGGTCGATGACGATGACGACGATACCAAGTTGCCCGAAATCAGCAAAGAGCAGGTCGAACTGAGCATGCAACGCATTGTGAACCTTTGTCGAAATGGCAATGCCTTCATATCCAATATCAAGGTGGCCTGCGATGCTAGAGAAAACCTACGTCGGCTGGAGGAGGATGAGCTTACTCTTATTCGCACCCGGAAGCTGGAAGCGGAGGCCAAGGCGGCTGAGGAAACTTTTAAAGCAGTAAGACACCTACGGGGTTTTGCCTGACGGTCCGTCCTGTAGGTGACCGAGAAGTGGGACAAGGTTGACTCGTTGAAAATTCCTCAGGAGTTGCATGACGTAAGCACTCGTAGAGTCATCCTCTTTCAACCTTTAGTAGCTGCTGGAGGAGCAGAAGAAGACTTGTGCTGCAATGATTGACGAGAAGAATCGGCTGATACATGAAATACACCTCGTGAGTTGAAATGATTATAAGTGACCCATGAAAATCTAGAGTGACTTCGTTTTAGCGCACCTAATGTACTCTTAAAATGTATATATGGTCACTGCCTTCCTTAGATGAGACTACATGGAGATAATACCATAGTACTTAGAATGAGTACGTTCTATGCGTTAATCAAGTCGGTTCCTGAGTTCTCGGTGGCCTTATGCAGGCCAATGCTGCTGAGACCGAGGTTGAATTGTGCGAGTTGCTACGCCACATGGAATATGCTTAGGGCACGAACAGATCTTAGAGCTTGTCTCTACTTTATATCATTCCCTGTAACATAGTCATATTTCAAAAATTATCGAACCTTCCAGCGTTGAATGTCTAGCAGACAACGTTCATTTAAAAACCTACGTCAGCTGGGATTCGGAGTTGGGTGTGTCCGTTCATGAAAGGACGATAAAAATCAAGTCAAGGTTTCCCGCACTGTGGCTGGTTACTTTTAAGATCATTAAAAAGTACCGGGAAGCACAAGAAGTCAGGTGTTTACGGTGAGGCACAGTTTGCCCTGATTCTCGTGGTACTGCCGGTAATGGGGTTTCATATCTGACATATCAGCCTTGGGGTAAAACTATACTACCCTCCGAGAATGAATCTGTTCTTAAAAGAAGGTAAAACCCTTCAGCAGTACCTGTAGAAGTTACATTGTGCAGCGATGAAGGAGGTGAGCCTCACCTTTGTGTTTGTTTACATGAACGGGCACTAGTCTGATGTCCACACGAGCACTGGGACTCTCGGAAAATGCAAAAAAATGATGTGGCAACTTGTAAGGTCTGTCGACTGCTCCATGCCAATGCGCAACAGGAATGAAGAAATTATCCGCTCTGACGGTTCAACCGTCGATTTCGACGATGTCCACCGTGTGCTCCAAGTCAGGGTGAGAGCAGGGATGGTGACTTGCGTGCGAATCAGTTTATGGTGGCAGTAGACTTGCACAGCATCTGTCGTACTCCCCTCCCCTCCTCCACCTTGACCCCGCGTCAAGTCAGCGGCAAGGAGACCGGAAGCAGGAGAGCGCGCAGGTGGTTGGTACGGCGCAAATTCGCAAGTAGGTGTGCCGCCGCATCCCCTGGTCCACAACGTACAGTAACATGATTTTATGCACCAGTAAATAAGGGGGCAGCACGGATCTCAGTTTGCGCGGCGTGCGCCGGCACATGCAAGGGCCATCAAATCCTACTGTTGGCATTTGTTATGGGTGGGCATTCCCGATAACGCCTTCCAGAATCTGATGTAGTCCCTTTCTTGTTCCAGCGTATTTTCCACGTGGTATATTGTGTGCACTTTCTCCACTGCCTGGGCTGCCGGTTTCCACAACGTTTAGACGAGATCCCCCACGATCGCAGCCCTTAATAATGCCGACCGCATAGCCCAGCGGAGAGGTGTTTGACACATGTATGCATGTATGCGGGTCATTGCAAAAGATCAGTCAAAAGTAGCCCATTTTATTGCGAATCTCTTGCCTGATAAATATAGCCCCGTGTAGTGTTAGTTCTCACGCCGTAGCATGAGTGCCTTGACACGTGAAGCTCGCAAGCTCGACCTAACTCGTTACGGACTAAGAGGTGAGCTTGCTGATGGGGCTTACGACTAACTGTCGAGAATTTGTCAAGGGCCACTGTTTTTTGCTACGCCCAGACATTTGCAGAACGAACCTTTGGTAGGACTGACTTATGTGGACCTGTAACCTGACCGGTTCAATCGCGCATCCTTGTCTACTTGTTTGATTTCAGTAGCGTATGTTCGGTTTGTTTGTTTTTGTAATTTTCCCTGGGTTACCGTGGTCGGTCACAGCGGAGATCGAACGGCTGGAGGTGATTTTCGTTAACACTATCGCTTTTTCCCACGACAAAGTATCCAATAACGTCTGGTATCGGCTTAATGGACTCCGGCTGGACATGACGTCGACGTCCGGTATCATATTCGTGACCAAGTTTCCCTCTCCCCTCTAATTCAGCGTATAGTTTTCGCTTGGTGAGGCGCGAGCGCGCCAGGTATCACGGCCAGTCCTGACAGTCATACCGCTTACTGACATATCACAAGGCTCACTATGTAATAATACTTTGCCTATTGACATTCTTTTGCGCATAACCGCTGACGCTTGCCCTTACTTTTGGACGGCCTCGTGATGACCACCGTTACCGTCCGTTATCTCGTCTTCCCATTGGTCATCATCCGCCTACCATCTGCTTCTCCTCACATCTCCAGCCAATCGCGTTAGCGCACATCATTCGGTCTCTTCGCGCTAGTTCTACGCTATTTTTAAACTTGGCGCAGCTTAATCCTGTTTCTTAATTACTCCGCTTAAATGAACTTCGACCTCATTGAGAATTTCGGCTTACCCATGATTTGAGCGGACTTTTGCGACTTGTCGGTTAGTCTCGCCCTTCTTATCACCATTCCCGCGTTGAAGTTGGCCTGAGTTCGGTTTTCAGTTACAAGTCTACCTAAGTCAGTCACGCCTAAACCCTAACTGGAATTTCTGACCAGTGGACATTTGCCGAAATAGTTGGCTTGTAGAATACTCTGTGTTCCATTCGTTGCTTGTTTTCATTCGATGAATTGAATTTGCTTTTCCAAGCGTAGAGATCGAATTGTAATTGGAAGCTCGTTTTCTAACGGCAGAGTCACATGCCCATTCAAACAAGCTGAAGTTGTTTTGCCCTTCCTTCGCCTCTTGCAGGAACTCAAGGCCAAAGACGATCACTTTGTGAAGGAGTTAAAGAAGCGTTCCGAGGACGTGGAAGTCATGGTGGAGAGAATGGAGTCTCAAATGAAGTCTATGCAGCGCGCGTACACCTTCGAGTTGCAGGAGATTGAGGTTTGCGCCACTGGCCCTCCAACCAGACGTTTTTAGCGCGCTTTTTTGCAGGAACGAGACAAGCTGCTGGAAATTCAGAACAAGGACTGGGACGACTTCATCGAGGAAATTCGGAAAAAGCAAGCAAGTTTTCGGAATTTGAAGGAAGATCATTAGTCCACCCTATAGGTCGACTACCTGAAGGAAAGGCAAGCCAGAATTGAGGAGCTGGATGGGCTGATTCATACTCTGCGAACCAATCACTGCCAGGAATTCAACGCACTGAAACTGAGACTGACGACGGAAGTCCAGGTGACTTCTTTTTGCATGCACTTTTGACAAAAAAAATCCATTTGATTTTCATCAGCAAGTGCATTTGTAACTCTCCCATCTTTTCCGAAAAAAATGACATTAAAACCGTTTTCTCATTCAATCACGCAGCAATTGGAGACAGATTTGCAACAAATGAAGGCTGCCTACCAACTGAACCTGGAAAAACTGGAGTATAACTTTCAGGTGCTCAAACGTCGTGATGAGGAAAATACAATCACGAAATCGAAGCAAAAGCGGAAGATTACACACCTGCAAGACCAGCTCAACATAATTCGCACCAGATCAAGAAAAATGGAAGAACAAATGAGGTCAGTTGACCATGTGCTGTGTTTTTTGCAGGTCATTAGTGCAGCCAGCTTTGGTTTCAGAAAGATACGGGAACTGTCCGTGTTTGTCGTTTTTTGGGGGGTTCAGCTAGAAAAAGTCAAGATTTCCTTCTTTGAGACGGTGTGGCGGCTAAGCGGTGATGGTGTACGCTCAGTACGCCACAACTTCAGGCCATATCCCAAGTTGTTAGAAGCAGGACGCCATTTGGTTAGGACAGTTTATTCTGCAAAGAATAGTGAAGGGGAAAGTTGGCAACCGGACGAGGATGCGTCCGGCGCCGCGGAGGCGGCGTCCGCGAGAGCGACGAGCCCTGTGTCGCCGAAGGTCGCCGCTGCAAAGGTGTCGCTGCAGATTGTTTACCCCATTGTTCTGGACTGTTCCCGCCTGTCTTACCAATCAGCGATAGGAGCTGCGTTGATTGACTCCGAGCCCACGCGAAGGTAGTAACAAGCCTCGCGTGGTGCAGGCAGAGAATCGACCGAATGCGTGGTGCAGACAGTGAATTGCAACGAGACAAATCGAAGCCGGGCAGACGTGCGTGCCATAGCAGGCTGTCACTGGGACGTAGGTGCAGACGCTAGCGAGAGGCGCGACGTAGCCATTATGGCTGTACACTACAACGGTGAACTTATTCATGCATCTATTAGGCGTCACAATAATTAACGATTAAATGTGTCCTTATGTCTTGCTTTCTCAGACGAACTCCGGTTTTTCAAGTGCTTGTTCAAAATTATTGTTATTTCCCCTTATTCGGTAGGGCAGAAAATGAACAACTGTCAGAGGACTACAAGAAGCGCATGGAAATGTTTCGTGAACTTCAGAAGAAGTCCAAGTGGGTCCTGACTTGTGAAGCACTTTATATACTCATGCATTCACACAAACTGTGTTTATTAGATCGTTCGGCATATCGTTACTCGCCAAATGATGGGAACGTTAGTGTTTTGATAAATTTGCTCATGCTAACTTCGGTGCTGTAGAATGCTCAATCCAGTCCCAATTCGAGACAGTTGTCTGTCTTTGTGTTACAGCCTATCGCAAGGTAATACCTTCGCCTCCAAGTAGTAGCTTTGGATGTTAAAACCTACCAAAAGTACTGATACAAAAGTATATCCGACCGGTGCCAAATAAGCGGCCACAGGTCTTCCATTACGGCTACCTTACGTACTATTGTTTGTTCAGTAGGTGTGCTTGTGGTATTTTTTTTTGCCGCCGCGGCAAAAAAAAATACCACAAGCACACCTACTGAACAAACAATAGTACGTAAGGTAGCCGTAATGGAAGACCTGTGGCCTCCATGGCTAGAAGGAAACATTCAAACACATCTAGCAACCCGCCTCCGTAGGGTTTACGTGGAGTTCCCATTCCCTGTTGCCTAAAATTTATGTCCAACATACAATGCAACTTCTATGCATTTACGCACACAAACTTCTCTTACTCCAAACCACCTCTGGGCAGTTCCCCATGCGTTGCAGTTGCGCTGTTAACTGCCAGTTTGACGGTTTCTCGGTTTACGTAGTGTTTCCCGTCATCATCTCTCGGTTTCCAATCATGGTCCACTTGCCTCTCCTCCTACGCATTCCGGAGTCCACCTAACTGAGTTGCCAGCATTCCCATTTCGTCATTAGGACTACCACTTACGCCAGCTGTCCACTAACGTTTCCAGCCCGCCTTCAACTTCCGGGCGTACACCTGACCCTGCAGGCCTTCTCTCCGCATATTCTGCAACACCCACCCCTCCCCCCCGAAACTAAAAGGCTTACAGCCTACGCCGTCCAAACATACGTCTGTCACTTTGGGGTAGCTGCTACCACAGGCATTCGGCTCTTAGACCACTGCCGTATTTACATACACCTCTACCGCCTAGCCCACGCCTTTCCCCTTCCCCCCTTCCGAAGGCCTGTAATCTACGCCGTGCTGATATCATTTCCCGCAGTACCGCTCCCTTTTACGCAAACTTACCGCAATCGACAATTCCTTCATCGGCTGTTTCCATTTCCGCCTGCTTCACAGTCTACTGTCCCTCCCAACCGGCTTTGTTAGTTGACCTGATATGCCCTTCCCTGCGGGTGGGTCATGTCGCTCGTTACCAGCTACAGTTATTCCTACTTATCGTCTACCGTGGCCGGCAGCGGCCTCAGACAGTCTCTACGTATCTCCCAGTTCCCGCCCTAAAGGCCTTCCGTAATCACTTCCTTCCTGACTTACAAGGGTTTATCGACGAGGCTTAGTGGACGTCATTGCATTATTCTACGTACGTAAATATGTTTACGTACCAAGCCTCCAAGGTTGGTCGATTAGTCGAAATCCTTACCGTTATATGATGGCTACGTTACCACTGCTAGAGACAGCCACCCATCCAACAGACAACGTCCGTTCAATTCCCCCATTAGTGATCCATAGGTACCTATCAGCTAACGCAGCCCTTCGGATGACAGTTATTCAACTGCTTACCACACCTTACCTCATTCCGGAGGCTTCGCCGTACCGTAATCAATAACAACTACATGGACATATGAAATATTTACTCTGAATTATTAAAAGGTACAATACACTGGCCAGGTAGGGGGACTGGCGAGGTAGGGGAAATCGTCCCCGACTGCCTTGGGCCGCCGGTTTGCCACAACAGTTATATACAACAGTTTGGTTTACAATAAAAAGGGTACGCGATTACACGCTTCCAGTTCCATGCGGTAACTCCTTGTCCACCTGCCCATGAATCTTCGGAAGAGAAACCCTCATCACCAGAAGACAATGGTACCTTTACTGTAGGTAGGCATGGACAGTAAATAAACGAGGTATGTAGTATTCCCTTTACGTATTCCATCTGGGTCTTCGTTCGTTGCCTTCATCATTCGTCCATGGTTGGTTCTCCACAATCGACAGCTTCCCCTTTGACCGGCCGGTAACGGTCACCGGCACTACAGCTAGGCATGGAGAGTAAGTGGACGAAGTACACAGTCATACCTTCCAGTCTTCTGTCATCACCTTCATTGGTTGGCTTCCCCAATCGTCCATGGTTGGCTCTCCACAATCGTCAGCTCCCTCTATGACGGGACAGTAACGGCTACAGGCACTGTAGGTAGGCATGGAGGGTAAGTGTAGGAAGTACAGAGTCATACCTACCAGTCTTCCCTCCGCGCCTTTCATGGTTGGCTTTCCCAGTCGTCCATGGTCGGCTCTCCACAATCCACAGTTCCTTCTATGACCGGCCAGTAACGGCTACCGGCACTACAGCTAGGCATGGAGAGTAAGTGGACGAAGTACACAGTCATACCTTCCAGTCTTCTGTCATCACCTTCATTGGTTGGCTTCCCCAATCGTCC